CGAAGTGCGCCTTGCCCTGCAAGCCCAACCTGCTGCCCCATCGCTGCCATTGCCTCCGCGGCCATGCCCACTGCCACCACCTCTGGGGCTGCGCACATCCCCACTCACCCACCTGACCCGCCCCGCCTACCGCGCTGGCTGCCTCCTGCCACCGCTGCCTGCATGCCTCGCCCCCACAGGCTGCCAGTGCTTTCCCTCCAGCAGCCGCAGCCGCCTTGCTTTCCACTTTCCCTCCCTCTTCCTTCTATGCCGTCTTCAGTCTTCACTCCTCCCTCCCCTCTAGTATGCAAATTAACCACCATCTTTGTTTTATTCATTTGCGTTCTATCTGATTGGCTCGTAGGTGTGGCTGGTGGGCATGGCTTGTGTAGCAGAGTGACGGTTAATTTGCATTTTACTCTATTATTAGGTTAGATTGCATTTGCACGTGATTCAACGCGTGTGATGCAGTGTCACATTCAGTTTGGCAATGAAGAACAGAGAAAACAGGCTTTTGAAAAAGTGCAAGATGACTTGGTTGGATTAAGTAAAGCTAAATATTCCAGAAATATTGTTAAGAATTTTCTCATGTCTGGGGTAAACCGCAGAATGAGGAGATAATCTGAAGTTTTAAAGGCCATGTGAGGAGGATGCTCCGACACGCGGAAGGCTCGGCTGTCGTGGTGTACCATACGACGACAAAGCCATTGTAGAGCAGAGAAACATGTTGGCAGAGCGCTCTATGGGAACACATTTCAGCCTTACAAGTCAGCAGATCACCCAACTCTGGACCAGGTGTTAGAAGTACAGCCAGAAACACTAGAACTTACCATGAATGAAATGAAACAGATTCTAACTCCAATGGTCCAGAAGGAAGCTGTGATGAAGCGCTCATTGGTGCACAAAGTATTCTTGGACTTTTTAACCTATGAGCCCCCAAAGCTAAGATCAGAAACGGTCGAAGCCACCCGTGAAGTGGCGGTATACCTGGCGCATGCACAGCACACCCAAGGACAGGAAAGTGACTGTTGAAAAGGTGGCTAATGACCTATACTTCCATTTGGTTTTTACTGGTGGCATTTGATTGTGAAGCAGATAATCATATCTGAAATCATTAGTTCCTTGTCTAACGTATTAAATGACAAATATGGAAGGAAGGCCCTGTTGTATCTAAAGCTCCCAAGATCCTGCACATACAGTACAAGAAACCAGTGAAGTTCTGCAAAAAGGAAATGGAAACGCACACAGTAAAAAAGGTAACAGAGATCCATCTCCCCAGCTTCGTTAAGCTACCTGCAAGATGACACCCAAGAACGGTGCTAGGTAAGTCTGCCTGTGTGTTGGTGTCTTGCATCCTGGGAGCTGCCATTGTAGACACTCAACCTGCCGTGAATGCCATTGCCAGCTTGGCAGCAGCAGAACTGTGTCCTGGAAGCAAGGATGGAGAGTCTCACCCTGCAGGACATCCTGCAGGGCATCTTGTTTTGAAGTGGTTAGTAGAGCAAGACAAAATGATGAAAGAGCCGAAACCAGTTTGGCTCAATGGATAGAGCGTCAGCCTGCAGACTGGAAGGATCCTAGGTTCCATTCCGGACAAGAGCATGTATCTTGGTTGCGGGCACATCCCCAGTAGGGGGCGTGCAAGAGGCAGCTGAACAATGATTCTCTCATCGATATTTCTCTCTCCCTTCCTCTCTGTAAAAAAAAATCAATAAATTATATTTTTTTAAAAAGAAGAAAGCGGAAGATATGGTTGTTTTGCAAAAACACTTGTAGAGCGTGTTGGTACGAAGAACCTGACGTCCTGGGCTAGTGTAAATCGAGGTGCCATTCTTCTTTCTAGTCTTCTCCAGAGTTCTGATCAAGAAATTGCAAGCAAAGTCAAAGCTGGACTAAAAGCCTGATTTCCACATTGGAGAGAGAGAAAAGGACCAGCAGAGTAGAAATGCTGCTTATAAACACTGTCTGTGTAGATGGAAACAAGTAACAAGATGGAATCATTGTTTCTCTGATGACCTGTTTTCCCAGAGTGGAGAGAAGGGCTAGGGTCCACCTGGCTGGTAATTTGTGTACTCTGTTTATGTGTTTCTTCTTTGTAAAGAATACATGGGGTCCCTCCTGTCTTGCCCAGTCCCGATCCCCGATTGGGGCCATGGGGGCAGGCCAGCCAGGAGGGACTGTGGGAGGGCTCCACGGTGTGTCCAGCCCTCTCGCCTAGTCCCAATTGGCTGGACCCCAGCAGCAAGCTAACCAACTAGTCAGAGTGTTTGCCCCCTGGTGGTCAGTGTGTGTCATAGCGACTGGTCGACCAATCTGTCAGAAACTTAGCTTTTATTATACAGTATATGATGCTTTTTTTATTTTTTTAAGTATATTTTATTGATTTTTTACAGAGAGGAAGGGAGAGAGAGAGCTAGAAATGTCGATGAGAGGGAAACATCGACCAGCTGCCTCTTGCACACCCCCTACCGGGGATGTGCCTGCAACCAATATACATGCCCTTGACCAGAATTGAACCTGGGACCTTTCAGTCCGCAGACCAATGCTCTACCACTGAGCCAAACCGGTTTCAGCATATATATGATGCTTTCTAAAAATGCCCTTTAAAAATAAAAAATAAAAATCCATGGCAAAATATCCTCAGGTGAGAATTAACAAAAAAAATGAAAATAAATGCCATAAAGAACTCGTCAATGTTTCATTACAAAAAAACAAAAACAAAAAAAACAAAACACTTAACTAAGGAGGTAAAAGACCTGTACTCATAAAAATACAGGATGTTGAAAAAAGAGGAAGAGGAAGATATAAACAAGTGGAAGAAGATACCGTGTTCATGAATGGGTAGCATTAACATCATTAAAAAATCCATACTACCCAAAGCAATCTATAGATTCAATGCAATCCCTATTAAATTACCAATGGCATAGTTCACAGATCTAGAAAAAATACTCCAAACACATATATGAAACAAACAAAAAAATTCTGAATACTTTCAGCAATCTTGAGAAAGAACAACAATGGAGAGATCACAATACCAGATATCAAGTTATACTACAAAGCCAATGTAATCAAAACAGCCTGTACTGGTATAAGAACAGAAGTAAAGATCAATGGAACAGAACAGAGACCCAGAAATTGGCCCAAGCCACTACAATCAACATTTGAAAAGGAGACAAAAGAATACAATGGAGTCAAGACAGTCTCTTCAATAAATAGTGTTGGGAAAATTGGACAGATACATGAAAAAAAAATGTAACTAGACCAAAAACTTACACCATACACAAAAATAAATTTGAAATGGATAAAGAACTTAAATGTAAGTCGTGAAACCATAAAAATCCTAGAAGACACCATAGGCAGCAAAATCACAGACATTTCTCACAGCAATATGTTTACAGATATACCTCATAAGGCAAAGGAAACTAAGGAGAAAAGAAACAAATGGGACTACATCAAAATAAAAAGCTTTTGCACAGCAAAAGAAACTGTATGGCAATGATACATCTGATAAAGGGTTAATATCTAAAATATATAAGGAACTCATACAACCTAACAAAAAGAAGACAAACAATCCAATTAAAAAATGGGGTAAAGGGTTTGGCTCAGTGGATAGAGTGTCGGCCTGCAGACTGAAAGGTCCCAGGTTCGATTCCGGTCAAGGGCATGTACATTGGTTGCGGGCACATCCCCAGTAGGAGGTGTGCAGGAGGCAGCTGATCGATGTCTCTCTCTCATCGATGTTTCTAACTCTCTACCCTTCTCCCTTCCTCTCTGTAAAAAATCAATAAAAATATATTTTAAAAAATAATAAAAAATAAAAATAAAAAATGGGGTAAAGGACCTACATAGGCACTTCTCCAAAAAGGACATACAAATGGCTAAGAGACGTGTGAAAAAATGCTCCAAGTCACTAATCATCATAGATAAAAATCAAAATGACAATGAGGTACATTTCACAGGTGTCAGAATGAATGGCTACTACCAACAAATCAACCAACAAATGCTGGTGAGGATGTGGAGAAAAGGGAATGTTAGTGTACTGCTGGTGGGAGTGCAGACTGGTGCAGTCATTATGAAAAACAGTATGGAGCTTCCTCAAAAAATTAAATAGGAAACTACCATTTGAGCCAGTGAGCCCACTTCTAGGAATATATTCTAAGAAATCTGAAACAGCAATCAGAAAGAATATGTGCACCCCTTTGTTCATAGCAACACAATTTACAATAGCTAAGATCTAGAAACAGCTCAAGTGCCCATCAGTAGATGAGTGGATAAAAAAGTTGTGATGCATTTACACCATGGAATACTATGCAGTAGTAAAAAAAGGATCTCTTACCCTTTGATACAGCATTGGAGGGACCTGGAGAGTATTATGCTAAGCGAAATAAGCCTGTCAGAGAAAGACAAGTATCACATGATCTCACTCCTATGTGGGATCTAATGAAAGAAAATAAACTGTTAAACAAAATAAATCCAGAGACCTAGAAGCAAGAAACAAACTGTCGAATGTCAGAGGGAAGGTGGGGGAGGGTGAATGGGTGGGAAAAGATCCGAAAAACTTGTATGCATATATGCATAACCCATGGACACAAACAATAGGGGGGTGGAGGCCTGGGCAGGAGGCAGGAGTGGGCTATAAGGGGTCAGTGGGAGAGAAAAGGGGCCATATGTAATACTTTCAACAATAAAGATGTTTTTAAAAAATAAAATTTATGTGAAATTTAGTGAAAAAACTGGAAAAATGTTTTTTTCTCTTCCTTAGTTTTTAAATTTGTCCTAGAACCTTTATAACAGTTTCCAAGTAACAACTATCAAGCTGATAGGTCACAGATCATTTACTATCCAATATATTACCTACTGAAATGATAACTGCTAACAAATTCCCAAGGAGCTACCTCACGGACTTGCAAGACAGTGTGAAGAATACGTATTTCCATGTGGCAGAATATGGCTTTAATACACAGAACAAGAATTTTAACGTGTGAACAAAATGTGGTCAAAATATAAGTCTACACTGAACATATGTGGAAAAGATATTTAATTGTAAAATAGAAAAGTAGGCCAGAGTAATTGCTTCTTAAGGGTAATTGCTTCTTTTTACAGTATAGATCATCTAGAAGGGCCTTAGGGTTAAACATTTTCATAAAGCAATAAAACATTAATGCAAGAAATAAAGCAAGAAAAACTGTATGAAGTTACACTTTACAAAAAAAGAATGAACAGTATGTCAGAATGTAATGTTCATACACTGTGGAATCCGACAATATTGTGATGAGAGCGGTCATAGCAGACATACAGCTTTCACAGGGAAAAGTAAAAGTTATGGTAGACACCTCTATAGCATTACTGTGGTACAAAAAGTTCTTGTTCTACATACAAAAGCATTTTTCTCCATAAGAATAATTTCCTGGGGAAGGGAGGGGAATGAGTCCATGAAATATTTCAGAAACCCATATGCTTTGAGTTTTCCAAAAACATTATCTTAAAACATACTGCCTTAAAGTGCTTTCATGTGGAAATCATGATGGAAGGCACAGAATACAGTTTCACGTCCCCACTATGAAATTTTCAAAAAAGCATAGATTTTGTAGTTTGCAAATTCAAGTTATCTTGTAAGCTGCTCCTTCCAAGAACACTATCATTCCAATAAAACCAGCTGCTAGTTTACTTAGTTAAGATGACCTACAGAATAAAAGAAGGGTTTTTTCCCCTAATAACTTTCATCATCTTTGTGGGGAAAATACCTATACAAGTGATACATTTTGAAATTATAAAACATGCAGAATATGTACAAACACAAAGTTTAAAAAATATTTGCTTCATATACATGTAAATCTACTTGGGTATAGCTGAAGTTGAACAAATATAAAAACTTGTCTTCTAAAAAATGTTTTCAGAGAATCTGAGACAACTTAAAGCTGTACAAACATTTCCTGGGAGAAATCTCTTCATACAGAAGCTTTAACCTACAGGAGCAATTCCAGTATCAGTCCACCACATAATTATGACACATTTGGTCTAATCAACGATCACCCTTAAAATTGTTCTGTTTCTGAGAAATTAAGGTTCGTTCGTACTAAAATCAAAAAGAATTCACAAAAACAGTGGCTTATTGTGTTTTTGGATCTCTTCAACAATCTTTATCAACTCATTTAGAACTGTAAAAAAAACAAAAAAAACTATTTACAGAATTCAGTTTTAAATACATTTGACAACTTCCAAAGTTCTATGTTACAAGGATTCAGACCACATGGCTTTAGAGTCCAATTATCAATCTGTAGTCTCTTCTAGCCTCCTGTCTTCCCATGACTGCACCTCACTGTGTATAGTTCAAGACTGTATTCTTCCTTGACCAAAAGTAACTCAAACTACATGTTCATTTCAACTAAACAGCTTCTTTATTAGTCTGAAGACGAGTCATAGCTTCTAATTTCTGTCTGTAGGCTTCTGCTTCTTGTTCTTTCTTTAGAAGCTGCTGTCGATATTTTTGGGCCTCTCGGTTTGCTTCATCCAGCTGTTTCTGAAGAGCTTCTCTCTCCTAATTAAGAAGAAGAAAAAAACTTGTTTTTTTTTCAACTTTTGCGTAAATGCATTATTAACATCTGTAAGCATGCATCCTTTAACAAAACAATAGTACCTAAAAATAGTTACCTATTGATATTTCCTAGACAAGTTGCCTTTTCAACCAATTCAGTATAATAATTAAAGCCCCTGATTTTGTGCTCCACACTGTGAGATACAGATTGCAGTTGTTGTTGTTGTTTTTAATCTCAAAGAAATTATTCCCTAATTAGATATAAGACTAACATAATGATCCCAAATAGGTACCTGTACTCTCATATGTACTACAAAAACTAGGGAAGAACTTTAAGAAGGAGATATACCATCATAGCTCTCCATATCTTTATCTGCACTTTTATCTAAAGATAATATTTTTAAAAATAAAAATAAAGATAATGCTTAAAAACAGTATTTATTGAGCACTCGTCATATGACAAAACAAGATGACTTCCAAGGACAAGCCTCTAAGACAGATATTATGCCCATTTTACAGATGAGGAAAATGATGCTCGGAGATGATGTGGCTTTCTCATGTAACATGGTAAAGAGTCAGGTTTGTGAGATTCTGATATTACTGCTTATATAACTACCTTTCTCAAAGATAGCGAGCAAGATTCCTCATCTCTAAAATGACGAGTGCTGGTCTAAATTAGTGTCCTAAATTATATCATTTCACAAATCAATAAAGTACTAATTTCTCTCCTGTGATTAGTGAATTATTCAGGTATAAAATATATGTACTGAATTTTTCAGTAAGTTGAGAGCTGAAACAAATCTGGGCCTCCTCCTCACTCCGCCTCTATTCAGCGGCCCACAGGAAAACACTTCACAGGTTCTCGCCCCACACCTCCAATAAGCACAAGAACAAAAGCTTGCCCTGCACACACCCAAGCTCAAACAACTTACAGAGGCCCAGGATCTATTAGTGTGGTGGGGGCTGAGGGTAAGACTATTAATCATAAGAAAGGCCACACTCACACTGGACAAGACACTTGACCAGAGGAAACGGAAGGCATGGGGTCAGCATCTTGCTGGGGAAAAGGGCAGTGTGAGAGTCTCATCCACTGCCTTGACCCTTATCCAGCGTAAAACCAAAAATTCCCTCTTCTTCATTATTCACATGGTCCACAAGGGGGAGCATCTTTACTACTTCTGCCTTCCTGTAAATCTGATTCCCTTCCCTACACTGGGAATAAAGAGACATCTAACGTTTGTTTTTCCCATGGGTTCATCAAATGTGGAAGTGGTTGGCTACACAAGTAGTATTCAAATCTTCCAATTGCACAAAATGTACAAGTAGAAGAAAGATGTGCCTTTCATCTGCAATTTAAGAAATTCCCAAGCCCTACTTTGCTACCCTTTTCTTACCCACTCCTTACCCCAGGCAAGATAACAGAGTAGGAACAAGTCAGAAAGAATACCCAAAAGATGAGCCTCATGGAAACAATCAAGGCCAGTGCCCTGGCAGTGAACACGGAAGGTTGAGCACAGCAACGGGAAAGGGGAGATGGGGCTGCTTCCCCAGGAGCTGGACCCTCACCAACGGGCAGGAACCCTTACAGCTATTCGCACGTATTATCAAATGTCACTCACGTTAAGAAAGAAGATCCTTTGGTAGCCAAAGTTTTGAATATGGATAAAAGTAATTTGCCCTGATTTGGTAGGAAAAATTAAAACAGATACTCTAAGGTATCTTTGCCTGGTAGCTATTTATTAACATTTAGAAACAGCAAGGGAGTCACAAGAATTTCAAAGAATAAAAGCAAACTGAGTGAGATAAATAATCTAACAGTGAATACAGTTTAGTCCTATTTTCCTTATTTCATATATTTTTTCAACTAGTAGAAAGTATCTTAATATAAACTAAAAGCATAGTTAATATTATTAAAGTTTGTCTGTGCTTTTATTTTTTACCTCTCAGAAATATAGGTATTTGGGGAAAGAATCTTTTTGCCATCTTACTTTTCAAAACATAAAATCTCTAAAAAGTGGAAAATATTATTTTTTATTTTACTCAAAAGATCCCATTTCCAAATTCATTTGTTCATTTACTGATCATATTGACCTGTAAGATACTTTCTTAATGCAAACAGTAATTTTGTTGTTTTGCATATAAACAGTGAAGCAGAATTACATTTGAGATTTATATTTAAATAGAAATGTCAATCCAATGGCTTTGATGTTTTGCAATAAAACCACAATAAAAAGAATTTTGAGGGGGGAACCGGGGGGGAAAAAAAGAGTTTTGACATTTTTCAATAAATATACTAATATATTAGTATTAATAATTAGTACTAATATTAATACTGAAGTATTTTCCCTTTAACTGTCTAACATTGAAAAATTTCAAAAAATAAAATAAAATCTGCTAAGATTTGGTAGCAAAAAAAGAAAATACTTGTCTTACACAACTCTAAACAAGAGCCATATATTATTATTACATTAGGCAATGGAACAACAGAGTGAGGAAAGACTTGAGTTTGCTTTTTCGTTTTGAAAGAAGATTCTTGAATTCTGCTTCAGCTAGTAGCAATTATCTTTTACTGAGCATTTACTATATGCCTACCACTGAACTAGTCCTTCACATGTACTCTCCTTTAAACCTTACACAATCTGATAATGGAGGTGCTATTATTTCCCCCTTTGTAGTGGTGGGGAAGCCAAGCCTTGAAAGGTTAAATTAACTTGATCAATATCAAACAGAGAACTATGAAATATAATTCAAATCTAAATCTGATTCCAGACCCATACTCCTAAATTATTAAATGTTTTGTTTTGTATTTTAACATGGAAACTGGACAGGGTGTAGGAGCTTTCCATTTGTTTGTGTGTAAGCATCAATTTTCTAACTGCCATAAACCAAATATGAACCTGGTTTTATCGAAATATAGCCATACCTATTCATTTCCAAATTGTCTGTGGTTGCTAACCTGCCACAATGGCAGACCTAAGTAGCAAAACACAGACTATATAGCCTAGAAATCCGAAATTATTAGCTAACTAGCCCTTTCCAAAAAAAAAAAAAAACCTTGACTACTCCAGCGCTGGAAAAAAAAAATTATCAAAAAGGGATATAACTGCCCAGCCACAGTGGCTCAGTGATTGAGCATCGACCATGCGGGCACAGTTAGATTCCCCGTCAGGGGTACATGTCCAGGGTTTTGAGCTCGATCCCCAGTGAGGGGTATGCAGGAGGAAGCTAACCAATGATTCTCTCTCATCACTGATGGTTCTTTCTCTCCGAAATCAATAAAGACATATTTTAACAAATAAAAGGGATATGACTATAAAAAAATTTAAACTTCGGAAGATCAAAAGGTTCATCATTAATAAAAGGAGAGCAAATTTAAAAAATTTTATCAAATGAAACATTTTGTAAAGTTTATAGAAATTAATTTTTTAAAGAACACTAAGGATCTCAATTTAAAGAATACTTAGGATCCCAATTTATCACTGGTTAAAAGATATAAATTATTCATTAAAAATAAACAAAACTTGTTAATAAACATATTCATCTTTAATCTCCATAGCAAAAAAAGAAAAAATGTAATAGGAAAAAATCTGTTACTCCTAATGTACTAATTACATCTCCTCCTCCCACATGTACAAAGAACAGTTTGAACTTCAATTCTGATTAGGCTAGTGTTTATTTATGGATGAAATGCAAAAATAGCACACTTCTTCCAAAAATATACTGTACAGTAATATGAAGGGGTGATAAAATGATATACATTATTGCAATTTGGTTTTATTCATACCTCCCTCTGAAAAAATAAATCCATTTTATTTCCTATATTGCTATAATGCAGATTTTGAAAGCCATATTTACAATAAATTTTCTACAATTTGAACTAATTTTTCTGGAGATTATTGATAAATCTCTCTTATGTTAACTGGGAAATTGTAAATATAGGGTGTCCCCAAAAAATGTATACATACATGAATAATTATAAAGGCAGTGTTTATTAAAATACATTTCATTTTCAAAACTGAACTATCAGCTGCCAAAGTGTATGTATTTGGCGGAGAGGGGAGAAAGGGAGTAGCCTGTACATATTAACACTTTCTTTACAGACAGTCACTCTGGTAGCTGTGGATACACACAGAGAGAAACCCAAACATATCAGATTCTATGTAACGAGTTAATTTAATTCCTTTACAGCTGTTTCTATGTCCTGTGCATCATTTTAGGATGTTTAGCAGCATCTCCCTGGTTTCTACCCCAATATCAATGGTATGCCCCTAATTATGATAACCCAAAATGTCTCCAGACACTGCTAAATGTCCCCTGGCATCAAAACTGCCCCAGGTGAGACCACTGCCTTAGAGAAACTTTTGTGAGAATGGCCAAACTGTCACTTAGATTATATTTTTTTAAAAATAAAAATAAAAAAATCTGCCCCAAGACAATTCTATTGATTATCTAAGAAAATAACTTCAAAAAACCACTTCATGTATTATAAGGAAATGATTACCTGATCTGATGAGAACACTAGAGGTCTCCTCATTCTATACTCCAGCCCCCCTCTACCATCTAAACTTACTGCATGCTTCAAGGTCTCTCTGTAATAGTTCTAACACATCATGCAACCTTGTCTTGAACATTTCTGTGGATAAAGAATACAATTTCCACCACCAGAAAGCTCTACTTACTAAAAACAAAACAAACACTCTTCTTTATATCAAGTTAAAACTCTAGCCCCTGAAGGTGTATCTCCATGGATCTAGTTAATTTATATATCTCAATTCATACTTTCCTGATATTTATCATTATTTCCTCTTAGTCTCTGAAAGACTGTAAGAGAGGAATCAGGTGGAACTTTGAAAAGCCAGCAATTCTCACATTAAATAGATAAAGCTACAGGATGCACATTCAATGATTTAAAAATATAACTGATTGAATTCAATAAGTTTGTGTTTAATAAAATTTCAAGTAATGCCCTGGCCAGGTGTCTCAGTTGGTTGGAATGTCATCCCGTCACCTAAAGGTTGAGGATTTGATTCCTAGCCAGGGCATACCTAGGTTGCAAGTTTGGTCCCATCGGGATTGGGGCCCATACGGGAGGCAACCAATCAATGTTTCTCTCACACATCTATGTTTCTCTCTCTCTCACTCTCTTGTGTCTCTATCTCCTCCCCCCTTCCTCTCTCTAAAAATCAATAAACATATCCTCAGATGAAAATTTTTTTTTAATTTAAAGAACTTTAAAAATAATTTTTATTAAATAGTTAAAGCAAAGTACATGACAAAATATTTTTCACCTTGCCCTGGCCAGTGTGGTTCAGTTGGTTGGGCATCATCTGGTGCACCAGGAGGTTGCCGGTTCCATTCCCGGTCAAGAGCACATGCCTGGGTTGCGAGCTCAATCCCTGGTGGGGGTATGCAGGAGGTATCTGATCAATGTTGCACTCTCACATCAAAATTTCTCTCTCTCCCTCTCCCTTCCTCTCTCTCTAAAAATTAATAAACTATTCTTTACATAAAAAATAAATAAGTCACTCTTTAAAAAATATATATATATGCATACATATATATATACACATATACATACATACATACACACACAGGGTGTCCCCAAAATTGTATATACACTTCAATAGCTGATTTCTATTACATTTTGAAAATGAAATGTATTTTAATAAATATTGCCTTTGTAATTATTCAAAGTATGTACATTTTAGGGAGACACCTATATATATATATTTTTACTTTATGTGCCAGAAAAGATCATCTGACATATCAGAAAAAGATATTCAAATGATTACTAAATAATAAGTATATGATACCATTCAATAAAATAAATCGCTAGTTTGTAAGAACTTCAATGTACTAAATATCACTTTAAATTTTGAAGAAATAAAACAGCTCACCCTCAATAACTAAAGAGATAATTTTACCAAATATTCTGGTTAGAAGATGAACCAGATAATATTTTCACCTCAAAAATGTTTTGTGATTGTGGCCAACAATATGCCAGTCTTACATTTAAATGAACTTGGGCAAAGGATATTTTCTAATTGTCCTCAATCAGGATTATGTTGCCTTCTAGTGACTTCTTTTTTTCAATCCTCTCTTTTCTCTTATAAAGAACCTTAAATATTCACCAACATATACTATTCACATATATCAGAAATTATGAATTTGTGTATAATGAGTAATTTTTTAATTCTCATAAAAACGCCAGAATAACTTTTTTAATAAATGTATTGTCATTTGATATAAGCTAATATCCAATTTGGGGTACATAATTTTATCTACAGTCACGTGAGAAAAAAACCTGCAACGTAACTAAGGCTGAGTTATACTTACACAATGGTTTACATTTATAATCTAGTTTGGGAGAGGGTAAAAAAAAAGTTGAATTCGGTCAAGAGCTAATCTAAATTTAATTTTCCTAAAGGATTTATTAAGTAAAATAAGTAGTTAACTACAACTTTATAATAAACCCAGTTGAAAAGTATCAACCTTTTTTAAGAGGATCCTCCCATCCTAAATAGGCATTTGCACTTCATTTTTGAAAGAAAAAAAACAGTTTTAGTCAATATACAGTGATATTTTCTTTAGTGACTTGTGAGAATGATGTATGTAAATTTAATGGAAAATAAAGGATAGCGTGAAAGAACTAAAGACATTCCAATGTTACCAGGATGACACACTCCATTACAAACAAATTCTTCAGTCATTCATTCATTCATTCAATATTTATTTATTGAGGGATTGCTATATGTATAAAGCAAAAAATTAAAACAAAATAATACTATATGCTTTCTGTATCAAAACAACACTGTCAGTAATAAATATAAAAGACCAAAAAAAAAAAGCAAATTGAATTTATTTTGGACGACTGCAGCAAAACACACCGGGTAAAAGACTCCTTACTTCTATTTCTGCAGATTCCACCCGGTTTTCAATTATCTCGATACATTGTCTCTTAGTTGGTGGTTCTTCACTTATAACAGTTTCTTCTGCAATGTCCGTTGCTGGTACTGTTAATACTAAAATGAAAAAATGTGTAAGTTATTTAATTTTCAGTTAGATTTAGTTGAAATAAAACTAGTCAACATTGTTGATGCAACTCATCTAAAATAAATTATATTCTAAAACAATTTCAAAACACCGATTTGCTTTTGAGGATGTCCCTATTTGTCTTCATCTTCTTACTTTACTGCAAGTCTCTCCTTGTTTAAGCACCTACTTATTTTTATAAAATTTTAACCAGTGTTAACCAGTTTGGCTCAGTGGATAGTGTCAGCCTGCAGACCAAAGGGTTGCAGGTTTGATTCTAGTCAAGGTCACATACTTCAGTTGCAGGCTCCTCCCAAGCCGTGCCTTGGACAGGAAGCATGCAGGAGACAACCAACCAATGTATTTCTCTGTCTTTCCCTCTCTCTTCCACTCTCTAAATATTAATGGGAAAATGTTCTTGGGTGAGGATTAAAAAAATTTATTTCATATATAATATGTTCTTTCACATGGCTCAAACTCAAAACAATAATTTTTTAAATATATTTTATTGGTTTTTTTACAGAGAGGAAGGGAGAAGGGTAGAGAGTTAGAAACATCGATGAGAGAGAAACATCAATCAGCTACCTCCTGCAAATCCCTTGCTGGGGATGTCCTCGCAACCAAGGTATGTGCCCTTGACCGGAATCGAACCTGGGACCCTTCAGTCTGTAGGTTGACGTTCTATCCACTGAGCCAAACCATTTAGGGCTCAAAACAATATTTGACAAGCATATTTTGAAAGCTCTCATTCCATTCCTAAAATAGATATTCATTTATTGGTGTCTCATGTACTATTCTTGTTAATTTATGTAAAAACAAACATGAATATACATTCTTTTTTTGTTACACAAAAGGTATCAAATAAAACATACATTCAATTTTTTGTACAACAGATACATCATCTGCAGTTGCTTTCTTCACTGCACATATATAAGGTGTCTTTCATCTGTATATATAAAAGCCAAAGTGACGAGGCAACTGGACGACTAGACAACTGGCCAGTAGCTATGATGTGCATTACCACCAGGGGGCAGACGCTCAATGCAGGAGCTACCCTCTGGTGGTCAGTGCGCTTCCACAGCAGGAGTGCTGATCAGCTGACTACCAGGCTCATAGCTGGCAAGTGCAGCTGCAGGGGTGAGAGCCTCTCTCACTGCTGCTGCAGCTATAGGATGAGCGGGAGCAGCACCATGGCCAGCTGCCTGCCATTTCACGCATTACCATATCCCTCGGGGAAACCAGCAATCTGACATCCCCTGAGTGGTCCCAGATTGCAAGAGGGTGCATGCCAGGCCAACGGACCGCACCAGTGCAGAAATCCGTGCAATGGGCCCCTAGTCTGTACATAAGAGCTTTCTTTTATTTAATTGCAGTATAATGTATGGATAAGCATTATGAATGTTATCTGTTTATGCACTTTGCTTGTTTCTCTACTAGTTTGTTGGATTTTGTTCCAATTTTTAGAATCTTTATATAAATGTAAATTATATATGATTTCTATAGTTAGGACTATAGAAATGGATGTGCACACTGAAGCCCTGCAAAACAATGGGGAAAATTAAAATTGTTCCATAGACTTAAATGTTTTGTGTGTGTTCTTTTGTCAAAACATTAAAATCTGTCATTTATAAATGTAAACACAAATGAAAAAAGTAAAACTAATATTTAGTGTAATGTAATTTAAAACATTAGAAATGAGGAAGTTTTATTTAACTCATATTGTTATACTTACAAATTAACTCAAGAATTTGAAAACCTAGCCGAAACCGGTTTGGCTCAATGGATAGAGCGTCGGCTTGGGGACCGAAGGGACCCGGGTTCGATTCCGGTAAGGGGCATGTACCTTGGTTGCGGGCATATCCCCAGTAGGGGGTGTGCAAGAGGCAGCTGATCAATGACTCTCTCTCATCGATGTTTCTAATTCTCTATCTCTCTCCCTTCCTCTCTGTACAAAATCAATAAAATATATTTAAAAAAAAAATGAAAATGTTATTAATGTATTAAAAAAAAAAGAATTTGAAAACCTTGTACAATATTTGTTTCTTGGAACTCTCTACATAGTATATATGTTCAAATGTCAGTTACACATTTTAAAATTATGGAATCTTTAAAAGTTTATTTTCATATTCAGTAGGTTCCTCTTATTGTTATTCTTTTTCAGAGTTTTCTTTCTTTTTCTTCTTTCCTCCTCCCCTATCACTATAAACTTAGAATGTTTAGCTACTTGCAGAAAGAGACCTCTTGGTTTTTTGTTGTGGGCTGAATTGTGTCCCCTCAAAGTTCAAATGTTTAAGGACCCTCAGCACTTCAGAATGTGACTGTATTTGGAGATAGGGACTTTAAAGAGGTGAATACGGTAAAAAATAGGGTCCTTTTGGAGTATCCTAATCCAATATGACTGGGGTTATATGAAGCGATTACCAGGACACAGACAATACACACATATGAGGGACAACCATGTGGGGACACAGCAAGAAGGCAGCCACCTGCAAGCCACAGAGGTCTCAGAAGAAACTAAAATTGCCAACACCTTTACCTAGGATTTCACACTTCCAGCACCCTGAGAATACAAAAAGCTGTTGTTCAAGTCACCCATCTATAGTATTTTGTTATAACAGCAAATTAATAGTCTTTTTTAAATAGCACACTACAGGGGAGGAACCAAGATGGCGGCATAGGTAAACACTTGAACTTGCTGTCTCGCACAACCACATCAAAACTACAACTGGGGGGGGGGGGGGGAAAAACAAACAAACAAACAAAAACTACAACTAAAAGAAAAAACAAATATCATCCAGAATCATGGGAAAGCTGGCTGAGTGGAAGTTCTATAACAAGAAGGAAAGAGAACAGCACATCTAGACTGGAAGGAGGTGCCAAGGTGTGGAAGAGGGAAGGTACGGAAGTGCGTACGGAAACGAGCTAGTAACTGAGTACGCTGAGTCTTCTTCAGTAGGGAGAGAGATACAAACCCCCAACTGCTCTGAATTCCAGTTCCAAGTGAGACTTGGGGACCCAGACTCATAGGGTGAGAAACTGGACTGTCTGGCATCAGGACAGGAACAGGAGGGCGGCTTTCTTTCAGAGGTGGTCGCAGCATTCATTGTTCCTGCACAGGGCTGTGGGACACAGAGACCCAGGGACTTATAGGGACACAGAGACCCGGGGACCTATCGGGGCAGGGCAAATGGGCAACCATTGCTATTTGCACTGCCCTGTAATTCCCTGAGACTATGCCCCACCCAATTTATAACCCCACCCAAGCTTGTGCAGAGGGGTTTGCATATGAATGGACTGGCCTTTTGCAACCTAACTTAACAAACAGCAGCTAGTCAAAGATCCCCAGAGCTTCCAAAAGAAGGCCTAAGGCTCATCAGCAGCCTGAATTGCTTCACAGCTGCGCCCCATCTGGGCACCTCCAAACCCCAAACTAAGAGGAGGAATCTGCAGATCTCTGGGTGGCCTCAGGCAATGGTTGACTTTGTACCTCCTTGGAGATCCAAGAGCCATTGTACAAAGTCGTCAGTGTGAGACCATATCAGATTACAACTCTTCAAATCCATAAGAGACACACTCAGGGGGCAGACTCAGTGAGCACCAAAGCTCCACTGAAGCAAGTCTTGCCCCATAAGGGTGTGTCCAGCACCAAAGTTCTCCCAGTGTAGACATAACTGATCCTCACAGCCAATTGGTCTGGAGGCCAATTCTAATCAGTGATACCAACAGCAATCAAGGCTAACTACAATAAGACTGTGCACATAGCCCACAAAAGGTACACCAAAAGCATACACCTCAGGTAACTGGGGAGGCTGAGCCACTGGACACCTAGCACACAAAGCTACTCTATCAACTCAGGGAAGAAGCCAAAATGTGGAGACAAAGAGACAGGTCACAAATGAAAGAAATGGCGGAAAGCAAACTACTAGATATAGAGTTCAAAATCACGGTTATAAGGTTACTCAAAAATCTTCTTGAAACCTCTGAGAAATTTAGTGAGAACCTTGAGGAAATAAAAAGGGACCAATTAAAAATTAAGCATACACTGACTAAAATAAAGAATAATATACAGAGATCCAACAGCAGACTAGAGGATCACAAGAATCAAGTCAATGATTTGAAATAAGAAGAGGCAAAAAACACCCAACCAGAAAAGCAAAAAGAAAAATTAATCCAAAAATATGAGGATAGTGTAAGGAGCCTCTGGGAGAACTTCAAGCATACCGACATCCGAAATAAGGGGATGCCAAAAGAAGAGAGCAAGATACTGAAAACCTATTTGAAAACTTCCCCTACCTGATGAAAGAAATAGACTTACACGTCCAGCAAGTGCAGAGAACCCCAAATAAGATGAATCTAAAGAGGACCACACCAAGATACATCATAACTAAAATGCCACGGGCAAAAGACAAAGAGAGAATATTGAAAGGAGCAAGAGAAAAACAGTTGCCTACAAGGGAGTACCCATATGATTGTAGCTGATTTCTCAACAGAAACTATGCAGGCCAGACGGCAGTGGCAAGAAATATTCAAAGTGATGAATACTAAGAACCTACAACCAAGATTACTTTACTCAGCAAAGCTATCATTTAGAATTGAATGTCAGATAAAGAGCTTCACAGATAAGAACAAACTAAAGGAGTTCATCACCACCAAACCAGGATTACATGAAAAGCTGAAAGGTATTCTTTAAGAAGAGGAAGAAGAAGAAAAAGGTAAAGATAAAAATTATGAAAAACAAAGTGACAACAAATACATATCTATCAACAAGTGAATCTAAAAATCAAGTGAAGCTGAAACCAATTTGGCTTAATGGATACAGCGTTGGCTCGGGGACTGAAAGGTCCCAGGTTTGATTCCAGTCAAGGGGATGTACCTTGGTTGCGGGCATATCCTCAGTAGGTGGTGTGCAAGAGGCAGCTGATCGATGACTCTCTCTCATCGATGTTTCTAACTCTCTATCTCTCTCCCTTCCTCTCTGTACAAAATCAATAAAATATATTTTTTAAAAATGTTAAAAAAAAAATAAAAATCAAGTGAATAAAAAATATGACGAACAGAATAAACTGGTGAATATAATAGAATCAGGGGCATAGAAAGGGAGTTACTGACAATTCTCGGAGGGGGTGTGGGAGAACAGAGTGTGGGGGGTGCGGGAAAAGACTGGACAAATATTGAGCACCTATAGACAAGGACAATGTGGGGAGTAAGGGCATGGGGTGGGGTAGGAACCGGGTGGAGAGGAGTTATGGGGAGAAAAAGGAGGAACTGTAATAATCTGAATAAAGACTTATTTTTAAAAATTAAATTAAATTAAAAAATAAAAATTAAAAAATATATATCACACTACACTTACAAGTCAAGTCAGGAAAAAATTGAGAGCTTCTTGATAGTGAGTCTTCCGATTTGAAACTGAGTTTTTTTCCATTTGTTCATCAGTGAGACTTGTCTGTATAAATGTTAGGTTTGGGAAACAAAGCTCTATCTGCTTAATACAAATACTTTGAAAAGCTTTCTTCTTTTGTGGGTAATTGGATTAGTTCTTTAAGGCTTTGTGAAATCACCTGGGCCTGAAGAGCTCTTTGACCAGCTATTAGCAGGTGATTTCTACAGAACAGGAAAAAGGCCTCTCAGGCTTCACAGGTCAAGGTCTCCTCTTGTCCTGCTAAGTAACAAACTCCTTCCTAAGTGTCATACCTCCTCTCCTGCTAACCCAAACGTCGTTTAGAACTTCTACCTCCAGCCTTTCCCTTCCATAATTCCTTCACTGGCCATGAAGAGGCATGATCTCTGCAATCCTACTCATTTTCTAAAAGTATGTGTGTGCACATACTTTTTGTTCGGGGACTGGGTGCAGGTGATGCTTTCTAAGCTAGGAACTTGCTGCCCCTTCTCTTTCTGCTTCCTCCACTATTCCATCCGATTCTATCTATCTTAGTCCTGCTGGCTGCACTGCACTGCACTGCCTATTCAGTCTGGGCCCTGTCTTGCTGGGAGTGTGTACTTATTGCTGATTTCTGAACTCAACCCTTTTCTTTTCTTGAAGCACCATTGTAGGTTTTCATGAGACTTCTCTTGCCCTGACTGTAATGTTCTTAGATATTTTTGGCAGCGCTTAAAATGTGCAATTCTGTGGGTTTTTTTTCAACCTTTTAGATTCAATGAAAACATAGTTGGGGCTTCTACTTCATCCATCTTATTGTTCTCTGTGGTTCCCGAGTGGAAAAAAAATGGAAAAACTGTCAACAAAACTGCTAAAAGTTGCTACCACATAGCTATTACAGTCTTAACTCTAACTTTTTATTTTAGGTAGCTTTTCCTTACATGGTATTTTTAAAAGCTCACATGATATCTGAATTGCATTAAATGGACTAAGAAATTATCATCCAATGCTGATTTTGAATTATTTATTTAAGCTTATTTTCAAGCAGAATACTTTGGGGCCAATTCTTTTTTCCTCCTGGTATATACTCTGATAAAGCAAGCTAACTTTAATATTAGCCTAAGCCAGTGTTTCCCAAAGTGTGGTACGCGTACCCCCAGGGGTACAGGAAGAGTTTGGTGAGGGTTTGAGTTGCACTGAAGTTTGGTAGGGATATGCACTGCACCGTGCTTAGCTGCGCCTAATTCTTCGTTCTCATGAGTACGAGGGGTACTCAGCGTTACGAAAATTATAGAAGGGGTACACATATGTCAAAAGTTTGGGAAACACTGGCCTAAGCAAATAAAGTGATGCAACTAAATCTGTTGCAAAGGGTTACAAAAACATAACTTAAGGCAAACTGAGAATAAACAGCAACTTTATGGAAATGCCTACTACTCACCTTGCTGTCCATCTGGCATGGTCACAATGATGGGCTGGCCTATTCCACTGGTTGGAATGGAGTGCAAATTTCCAAGCTGGATTCCATCCGTTACTATTGTGATGACTTGCTGACCCCCTGAACTAACTACTTGCTGAATTGCACCATCCACTGATTCTGCAGTAACTACTTCCTCCGTAGCCACTACTGGGGGGAAAAATATAAATGTGAAAATCAGTGAACATATATAAAAATAAAAACAGAAGTGTCTTTTTGCTTTAGTACCTTTGCCTTCCCTGCTTCCTCCTTACACAGAAAAGCTTGTACATGGTTTTAAACTTTAGTCTATACATATCTATGTAAACATTAAGTGCTATACATACCTATGTAAACATTATGACTACAACTCCCACAATTTACAATAAGTGAGTTCCAACTATTCATGCATGTGTGTGTTTAAATAAGCAATTCCTCTTCATTTAGTTATATGAGGTACCAAATTTGTAAGGTCTCCTAAAGTCACAGATATAACAAAGGATACACCTGCTTAATAAAATTCCATAATCCAAAAGATGATTTTATATGTGGTTATACTCCCATTTACATTTACATTTAGTATACTCCATTACATATACTACATTTACATTTATAGCTGATAAACATTTCAATATCTAATGAAACATGAAAATTTGTATTTTCAAGTAGCCAGACTAAATAGTATTCCCTTTTTGGATTATGTGAACAGGGTTTGCCTTGTTAAGTGGCATGCATGTCTGGTATCATATGAATATATTATATTTAACTAATATGTAATATATTAAGCATAATATATTATATCATAGTAATATACTATGATCTACTATAACAATATATTAATATAGAACACTTAATAAGATAATAAAAAATTATCAATGTAACATATATATATATATATATATGTATATATATATATATATATATATATATATATATCATTGCACATCCTAAAGGATGCTAAAACCATTGGTGAAATGTTTTGAGGAAACAAGATATTTAAATGTTCCCAAGGTATCACACCAAAGATTAGCATTCGTTAGAAAAAGGGAACTATAAAGATCTAGTGGTTGCCACTCTCACCAGGCGGTCATTATCAGGACAGCCTGACATTATGTGCCTCCTGATGTGATGCAATGTAAGATTACAAAATATCACTGTGTTCTTCCCAGAAATGTTTGGCTTGCATCTAATTATTAAGAAATAAATGAATCCAGAATGTGGGTGATCCTGCAGACAACTGGCTTAGACTACAGAGATTTCAATGTCATAAAGAACAACAAAGACAATAGAATAATCCTAAATTGGGGGAGACTAAAGAAGAACAATAACCAAATACAATGTGTGAACTTTAATTGGACCCTGAATGAAAAACAGCTTAAGGACATCTTGGGGATAATTAAAGAAACTTGAACTATGGACCATATGTCAGTAATGTCACTGAATTAACATGATGCTTTTAGGAAATATAATGGAGGTGTGAGCAGTAAAAGGATGCCCTTATTCTTGAGAAATACACGCTGAAGTATTAAAGAATGAAGTGTCAAGAAGTCTGCAGCCTACTTGGCAAAATAAAATAATTTGGGTCAAATTCTTAAAACTTTGGTGGTGGGAATGAACATGCAGATGTGGCAAGATGTTAACAGCTATGAATATAGGTGAAAAGTATAAAGTTCATCCTCCAATTTTTCTATGGGTTTGAAAACTGTCAATATAAAAAATGTTTAATATAACTATTTCTGAAAAATGGAAAAACTGTCAACAAAGCTGCTAAAAGAAGTGACATAAGAACTATTTCTAAATTATGTGGGGTTTTTAATAAGTTATCTGAGGCCGCTTTTTACCAAAAGTATAATTTTTTTTAAAAAGCATTCTCTCCTCAAGTGCTACTATTCAGATACACAGTTGCTCAGAAACATGCTAAGTTGCTACCAATTCCCAGGAGAACATCATGTATATCAATTACCACAAGATTTACTGAAGACAGAGGCCCTACATATGTACTAGTATGCTACATTTTTTTCAAAGGCAGGGGAGTACTGGGACCCTACTTTCTAAGGATGCACACATGGCAGCAGGCCTGGCTGCAACTCTGTTCTTTATTTTATAATGAAGGGTTACAATACAAACTGCAGAAGATAACACTCAAAATGCAAAGAGCCTTTGTGTTTTTGAGTTCTCTCATTTTTTGTTTGTCTTAAACTATAATTAGGCTTTATCACCAAGCACTTAAAAAAATTTCAGGAAGATAATTATAAAATGAAATGTAGGACATAAAATAGTAATATATTCAATAGAACTACTACTCAGATTTTCAAACACATAGACTATTGCTTTGATTTTTTTAAGAAAATATCCATATGAAAAAGAAATGTTCACTCAGGTTGAATGCTAACTATAAGTAGTAACTATTTCCAAGCATCATCATCTGTAAGAAATTTCTGAGATCACACACAATCAAGGCACAACTCCAGAACTTTCATCTTTGCACTATCTGCAATGACTGTCATTAAAATAATAAAGAGTTCTTGCCTTTCATCTAAAAGCTTTCTTTTTAAGATGTGCTATGGTAAGAAATTTAAGAAAAAATAAGGAAACCAATTATATCAGAAGACAATGGGCTCCCAAGAAACCCTAAAAACGTAGCATAGAATACATGCTCAGGTACCTTAAAAAATGGGCTGGCCAAAGATAGAGAAATCAGCAGTCACAAGTTAATCCCTTTAATTTTATGCACAGGAAAGTACACTATGAGAACACTTCAAATATATATGTTTCAGGAATATTCTTGTTTTTTCCAAAATTAGTGAAATGAGAGCATAAGGGGGATAAAACAACGTATACTTTAACAGAACCTCTGCAAATCTTGACAGTCAAAAGAAATGTTCAATTGTGCTTCAATACATAGAAGCTATACATTATATTCAGATGCTAAATCTTTTAACTAGCTAGGTACCTACCACAATAAATCAAATAAAGCAAAATACTAAAGAGAAAAAAGGAGCCAAAACTAGACTGCAAATTAGATTACTAATATGATACTGGAAGATGAAATATTAGTAAAAATAAAAGTATAATTCATAAAATTATCAAGGTGAACAATGGAAGTTTCGAGCAAATATAGCAGATAACTACTTAACTTAGAGTTAACTAAAAGATATGCATTCCCTCAGTTTAAGTAACTATATTTAGTTACCATCTTAGATAAAATATGAACAACAAATATATATCAACAAGTGAATCTAAAAATCAAGTGAATAAAAAATCTGATGAACAGAATAAACTGGTGAATATAATAAAATCAGGGGCATAAAAAGGGAGTGGACTGACAATTCTCTGGGGATAAGGGGTGTGGGGGGTGTGGGAAGAGACTGGACTAAAATCGTACACCTATGGATGAGGACAGTGTGGGGGAGGGGGTAAGGGCAGAGGGTAGGATGGGAACTAGGTGGAGGGGAGCTATGGGGGAAGAAAGAGGAACAAATGTAATAATCTAAACAATAAAGATTGCTTAAAAATAAAACATAAATAAATAAAATCCAGATTTTCAGCTCCCCATGAAAGAGCAGGATCTGGCAACACTGAGCATAAGATTAGAAATAGCTGTAGCTGAGAAGCTGAGGCATCCCTGCCCTGCCTTACTCTCTTTAGAAGGCCATTATCTCAACCCTGCCCACTTTAGCCTTTTATATGACACTAGAGGCCTGATACACGAAATTCGTGAGTGGGTAAATGGGTAGGGTCCCTAGCCCTGCCCGACAATCAGGGCTGATATGTGGGGTGACTGGCGGGGTGATCAGGGGAGCCCCCTGCTACTGTCCTATTGCCCTTACCATATCAGATGGAACAAAGAAAAAGCCCTCTGTCTCTGGGTTCTAGTAATTACTGTCTCCTTATGTCTCTTCAAAACCTCAGGATAGCAATGCACATTGCTATTATTAGCCAAGGGGTAACTACACTACATCTTGTGGTTTCCCTACTCCCTACTTGCACCTTCTAGCACCTTGGCTGGTCTGGGCCCTGAGGGTTGGGGGCAGCTCCTGAATTGAGCATCTGCTCCCTGGAGGTTAGTGTGTGTCATAGCGACCAGTCATTCCGCCGTTCCGTCTATTTGCATATTAGGCTTTTATTATATAGGACTTGAGGTCAGTGCACAAAATTCGTGTATTTGGGGGGGGGGGGGCGGTGGCAGTAGAGGTTCCCCTCAGCCCAGGCTGCACCCTCTCCAAATGGGGACCCCTTTGGATCAGGCCTAAACCAGTGGTTGGACATTCCCCTTGCAATCTGGGACTGCTGGCTCACTTGCCTGACTGATTGCCCCTAACCCTTCTGCCTGACTGCCTGATTGCCCCTAATTGCCCTCCCCTGCAGGCCTGATCTCACCTTCCAACTGCCCTCCCCCACCAACTTGATCTTGCCCCCAACTGCCCTCCCTGGCCTGACCTCACCCCCAACTGCCCTCCCCTGCCAGCCTGATCTCATCCCCAACTGCCCTCCCCTGCTAGCCTGATCATCCTTAACAGCCTCTGCTTCGACTCCCACCACCATGGCTTTGTCCAGAAAGAAGTCAGTCATCCAGAAGATGCTGGTTGACTGCCTAATTAGCATATTACCCTCTTATAGTATAGATAGATTATATAGGATAGAATTGCTTAAATGGGAGGGAAAGCCTTTTTCATCAAGAAGAGATGCTCTTGGCAGACAAAAATACATAATCACTATATCTGGACTAATAGCCAGCCATATGCACTATACTGCCGGTCATTAAAAAAATGAACTGCTTTCTTACTGCTTATACCAAACAGCTGTTGCCCTTAAAATCCTTCCCCAGCCCTCACTTTAGGTTCTGTCTTCGTAGTTCACCCAGATTAGGTTCTAAATGGTTGCTTTCTATGCCAGTCAATGTCAAAAGCTCCGCCTCCTAGGCAGCCCTTAGTTCCTCCACTTCACCCAGTTTAGGTTACGACTGGTCAGTTTCTATGCCAGTCAGCATCTCCAGGCCTATCAACAGGCCTGGTCAGAGAGGCGGGGTTGATCAGCTGCCCCAGGGGAGGCCCAAGAGAGAGTTGCAACTGCCGGCCAGGCCCCAAGAGAAAGAGAGAGGCAAGGGCTGATCAAGAGCTCCCATGGAGGCTACAGATCAGACCCTGCTTCTTGCTCCAGACCTCTCTTCAGGCCTGATCTGCAGCCACCTTGGCAGTTAGCACTGACTGCCGGTAAGTAGAGCCTTCAGTCGTTTTGGATGTTACGGACCCTGGGTTTTTATATAATATATTAGGATTCTTGGCCTTTGTGAATATTTGAATCTCTAACTTTTAATGTACATATGTGACTTGTTTTTCTAACCTGGAGTTTCTGAAGAGTTGGACAAGGGAGCAGATGCTTCAGCTAAGGCAGCTAATGTAGCTAATACTGATGTAGAGGAGTTTCCAAACTGAACAGCAGACACACCTGTTTCATCTGTAAGAAAAGAAAAAATAGAGTTTAATTTTTAAGGAGCTTTAATCTGATATTCTGTTTCACCTCATTCAACTCTTAAATGAAGCCTGAATAATATTAGTTTTGTGATAAACAAGCTTGGATAGCATTAGTTCTGAAAGATAATACTGCAGTATGTTTTGCAATATCACCTTTCTTTAAATTACTTTCTCATAAAAATTTGGGTGTTTTTTCAATTATACCAAAGAAAACCAAGGTTTTTCTTACCCTCATTCTCCAACTGTCCTTTCTTAAAAGGATGGATACCTACTAAGGCTTAAAATCCCAATAGCTATCCTATATGCATCTCAATACCTGTTGCCTTGGATGAATTTTCTGAAGATACCAGACCTGTTAGGTTCACCACCCCTCCAGGTCCAATGATAAACTGTGGTGTTGCAGCATGTATCGTCACAGTGTCGGGACTCTCTGGGTTTGTGTTGATTTGATTCTGCATAGCAATCTGGGGGACAAATCACCACAATATTTCAGAATTATAACCAGAACATATAGCACAGGCTTTCAACATAGTACAAACAAAAATATAAAAGAACATTCTGTAATTTAAGAAGAATCATATAATATAAATGGGTATCTTTTTTATGGTCTACTAAGAATATAGAGGTAAACCAAAAGTATGAATTTATATTCTAAGTTCCCATGAGCTAATGCAGCAAAATCCAATGACAGGAGAAATGGATATCTGAAAGGCTTTTATAGAACACACCTGAAAGATATGCAGCCCTGTGGCTTCAGAAATTAAATTATTTAAATTAAATTATTTCCTCTGCTATATTGAGCAATCTATAACACGACATATATAAAGCATGTCCTTCCCAGTTGTTCTACATCTTCAACCTAACCCCCAAACTGCACTCCTAGGAAGAGGCCTGGCAAAGTTCATTTTTCTGAATATGTCCTTTAAGTGACTAGCTGAAGTCTAATAGAGTCAGATGGTCTTAAAGAAAGAGTTTTATTGGGAAGGATAACAAGAAGACATGCAAGAAGAGGCAGTAAGAAGATAATTTACATCAATGTTGTCTAGCTGAAGAACAGAAATGTTGGTTATTAGAAAAATTTGACCAAAAGCCAAAAATAACCATGCTCACAGGTTTTTCTGAGAATGGTGAGAAATGAAAGAAACCACCCAGAATGATAAAGACTGTGTCACTCACTCAGGGGACATTATGGCTGCAAACAAAAAACTTTTTTGTGAAATATAACAAACTTTGAAACACCATATGGTAGCCAAAACCATATGGTATGCAACAAAAAGAATAAAATAAAATGTGTAGGAGAATTTAGGAATTTAACACAGAAAGTAACATCTTATCTAATCTTCTAATGTTACATGCAAAGACTACAGTCTTATAATCAGGAAAATGAAGAGTAATGAACGAAAAGCAAAAAAAAAAGGCCTGTCCAAAATAACTGAGTCCAAAATGAAAAGCTACAAACTGAATAGTTCAAATCATCCATAAAACAGAAATCTTTTATTTTCTTAAAAGAAAAAGTTACCTGTAATATCTCTGCTAAATCTTCATTCCCATTGTCTACTGAAATATCAAATGCAGTTTTACAAAATTTACTCTGCGTGTGTACATCAGCACCATATTTGATTAAGAGCTCCACCACATCTTGATGGTTGTGTTCTGTGGCCCAATGTAGAGCTGTCATCTTTAACATGTCCTTTGCATTGACATCAGCACCATGCTACAAAAATATTTCAAAATAAGAGATTTCTAAAATATGAAATACTAAAAATTGCTGAAATGAAAATTCTACACATTACACTTTAAAAAAATTTGCTACTAACATGATCAACCATTTTTTGTGTGTTGAATAATCTATATGCTCCAGGATCACCACACATCTGTTATTTAATCGATTTTCTATCATGATGACTTTCCTAATTGCTTTCCTTCTAATTTCTTAGGAGAGCAGCACTGATTTTTTCAGTCACCCAGTTGTGAGCATGAAGGGCTAGAACAGAATAAGAAGTGAAGGAAAACTATGAGCATTCCTCCCAAACCCTATTTTTAACTCTAGTTTCTTATTTACATAAAAATATCCTTTGCTTTCAAAACCGGTGTAATATAAAGAAATTAAGGGGAGCCAACTAGAGGTACACTGTCCATTATGGTAGCCACAAGACATATGTGACTAAGCATTTGAAATACAGCTAGTCCGAATAGAGAAGTCCTGTAATTGTAAATATACACTGAATTCAAAGACTAAACAGCAAAATAAGGTTGTAAAATAAGCAACATAATAAGGTTTATATTGATTTCATGTAGAAATAATAATATTTTGTATATGTTAAGTAAAATATAGTATTTAAATTGCTTTTTACTTTTATAAAATAGAAAATCTATAATTATTGATACGTATGATTTGCATTTGTAGCTTACATTGTATTTCTTTTGGACAGGCTGATCTAGAGCAGAGATTTTCAACCTTTTTCATTTCACAGCAGACATAAAATACTAAGTGATACAACACATCAAAAAATATATTTTTTGCTGACCTGACATAAGTATAATTTTGTTTGATTTTAAAAAAATTTAATAAATAATAGTAATTACCTACCCTTTTTGCTCCAAAGTGACTTTTTAAAAAGTTAAGTGCCTGTCTCTCTATATATAAAAGCCTAAGCAACCAAAGGGCGCCAGCTCCCAGGCTCAGGGCTGGCAAGCGCAGCTGGCAGCAGCAGGCGCAGTGGGACTAGATTGAGCGGGGGCAGCGTGGCACCCAGCCTGGGCTCAGGCTCCTCCCTAGCCATCTGCCACTTTGCACACTATTACATCCCCCAAAGGGTCCCGGATTGCAAGAGGGTGCAGGCCAGACTGAGGGACCCCACTGGTGCACAAATCCATGCCCCGGGCCTCTAGTACTTACATATAAGGATTTCAGATACCAAGATTTAACCAATCAGGAACAACCTTATTTTGAGACAAGACCAATAACATTGGTCATTTTTTTATTTGAAATCTAAGTAAAAGTAAGTCAGAGCTCCTGACTAAATAGGTATTGCATGTTTTAAAAATTCTTGTAGCACATCAGTTGAAAATGCTCATCTAGAGGCCAGAATAAAAAGGATTAAGAATACCTAAATCTATCATTCTGTTTCAGAATTTTCTTTTTGGCATTTAAGTGATTAAAGAAAAATCACCATTTGCATTATTTGTTTATTTTAAATTATCTAAGCCTAATATTTTTTTTCCTTGAGCATTTTAACTGTGTTAAGACAAAACTATAGGCCTTCCCCATGGCAGACATCAAGGTTTAAGAAATCAATTGTTTGACTTAACTAAGAACATACCCAGAATAATTGTTTTAATCCCCTCACAAAAGAAAACCTTAACGCAATTTACATTTGATCTCATTACACACACAAAATGAGATAACATGGGAGGAGGGGTAGATATTCAATAAAAGTAGTTTTCTTCTCCCTCTTATAAAACCATAAGCCCTGTAGAGATTTACTTTTCAAAGTACAAAAAGAGAGAACACATACCTGAAGCAAAACCTCTACTATGCTGGCATGGCCCTCAGAAGCTGCCATATGTAAGGGTGTTCGGTCCACTTTGGTTCTGGCATCCCTACTTACACCAGCTCGAAGTAGTACTTCTGTGGTGGAATAATGCCCGTACTGTGCTGCCAGGTGAAGTGGAGAAGTTCCCAGCTATACAAGAAAAAAAAAAATCCACATTTATTGTCATTTTAGTACAATAAATTTTTAAAAATATATATTTTATTGATTTCTTATAGAGAGGAAGGGAGAGGGATAGAGAGCTAGAAACATCGATGAGAGAGAAACATCAACCAGCTGCCTCTTGCACAGCCCCTCCTGGGGATATGCCCGTAGCCAATGTACATGCCCTTGCCCGGAATCGAACCTGGGATCTTTCAGTCGGCAGACTGACCCTCTATCCAAACCGGTTTCGGCTAGTACATTTCTATTACTACTTTCTATTTTATATTTTGTTTAAACACCAAAATTATACTATCTGTTTACATAATAATTCAAAAAAAGAATTTATGCTCATGACATTTTCTTCATGGAGGCCTTCAAAAATTTCCTCAGTGAAGAGGAAAAGTCAATATTTCAGATCAGATAGCCTAAACAAAATTAAATTCATCAGGGATTAGAGATAATTAGGGTTTGAGAAATTTTTCAGAATATTGGAAACTGTTCCTCAGACCAACCACACAAAACTTCTTTTCATCTATGAAATTCATATCAAATAAATGTAATAGTGTATATTTTTATATTAAACTCTTTTATAGGACTTAAAAAGTAAATTAAAGCACCTAAGTTATATTTTTAAATGAGTTCATATAAGAAAAAAATTTTTTTAAGAAAAAATATGATCTGAGGTGTGCTGTCTAAGGTCAGCCAGGACAGAACCAGAACAGAGCCCATTATATTAATTTCATGTGGTCTAAGCAAGCCACTATATTAACCCCACATTCACAATATCCACGGCAGTACTAAAATGTGAATGGAAGCTTGTTTGGAGGTTCTAGCAGAGGAGTGCAACTACTCACATACCCTTGACCCAAGACCGGTCCTCTCCTCTGGGGGGAAGGCCGTCCTCTTTGACCTAGACCTAGCACGCAGCTTCGGGAGGGAGGCACATGGATCAGTGAGGGAGGAGGGGGACACCCGCCCTGCCAGCCAGATCAGCTGAATGGGGGTGACAGATGTCGCAGCCAGATTGCCCTCACATCCACTTTATTTTGTTTTTGTTTTTAAATCACTTATATATCTCTAAATAATATACTCTTGGTTTTGCCTATTTTGAACTTTGCTTAAATAGAATCATACTGCATTAATGTTCTATGACTTACCTTCAGTATGCTCATAAGATTCAACCATGCCGGTGAATTTAAGTGTAGTTCACTAATTTTCTCCGCTCTGTAATAGTCTACTGAATGAATGATTTAACTAATTAACTATTTAACCTAATTAATTTAACTAATCTACTGATGAACATTTGGGTTTCTAGTTTTTGTTACTATGAATTACGCTGCTGCTAATAAAAAGTCTTAATCATGTCTCAAGTACATGAACAAGAGTTTCTCTTGGGAATATTTTCAGTTCAACATCACAAGTATGCACATGTTCAAATTTACTAGGTACTGCCAAACTGTGCTCCACACAGCTCTTCACCACTGCTTGGCACTGCTAGACCTGTTTTTTTTTCCCTGGCCAATCTGGTGTATATACAACTAATACTTCACTATTTTACTTTACATTTATCCAATTAGTAATGTAGCTGAGCATCTCTCCATGTTTATTGGTCATTTGAACTTTATCTTTAGTAAAGTAGCATATCAAATCATCTGCCCATACTTCTTTGTCTTGTCTTTTTACTACTGCCCTGGGAATCCCATGTTTTATGGATACTAATCCTTCTTAAGATCTTTTTGTCTTAAGATCACTATGTATCACTATGATGTATCTATTCTTTGAGATTTTTTTTTTTATCGATCCTGCTGGAGATTTGATGAGCCACTTCAATCTGTGAGCTACCATCTTTCATCAGTTCTAGAAAAATCTGACACCATGTCTTAATATTACTTCATCCCTATTCTCATTCTCCTCGTGGATTTGTGACTACATATATCTTAGTCTTTCTCACACTAGCCTTCATGACTCCTGACAGCTTTTACATTTTGTATTAATTTCTGCATTGCATGCTAGATGATTTTTTTCATATATTTCAGTTTAGTAATTTTATTTCAGCTATTCTCAATCTGCTTATATTAAAAAATTATCTAAAGTTTTGCCGAAATCGGTTTGGCTCAATGGATAGAGCGTCGGCCTGGGGACTGAAAGGTCCCGGGTTCGATTCTGGTCAAGGGCATGTACCTTGGTTGCGGGCATATCCCCAGTAGGGGGTGTGCAAGAGGCAGCTGATCAATGACTCTCTCTCATTGATGTTTCTAACTCTCTATCTCTCTCCCTTCCTCTCTGTACAAAATCAATAAAATATATTAAAAAATAATAATAATAAAAAAATAAAGTTTTTATAAGTCTTTTGTTGTTAGTTGTTTCAGTAGATTATTGTTCAAAATATCTTGTTTCCTTGTCTGTTATTTTTTGTTTTGTTTTCACCTGTTATTTTTTACTGTTCTTTTTTCTTGGAATTTCATTTGTGGATATAAAGCCTAGAATGAAGGTAGGTTCCTCCAGAAAGGATAGTCATTTGTTTCTTCCAGGAACCTAGGATCTAGTCCAAAGATCACTTTACATTCTTTTTTCAGTTTATGTACGGGACACAAATGTATGCAAGAAATGGCTTGTGACTCCAAATCTTTTCCTATCTCCATCTGATGTATTGGTTCAAGTCAGTTCCTTTACTTTGCAGTACCCTAATAAGAGAGACAGGGGCAGAAGCAGTTAGGAGGAGGAAAGAAGTACTTCTGACTTATCCTTGTACTGAAGGTGCATCTCTTTGGGATTCCAGAGTTATGGGGAGAGACTTTCCTAGGAGACTTCTTTCTGTGAGCAGTCTCGGGTCTTTGCCTTCAGTAATCCATGCCAATGAGGTTGGAAAACCAATAGGCAAATTTACTGAGTTCAGCAAATGTTCTTGGGTAAAATTTCTCTGGGTTCTGCCTTTTACTTGGTTTTTCAGGTTGATAATCTCTATTTTCTCTCTAACTCATGAGGGCACTTAAGATTTTTGAAATATTTAATCAAAATATCTTTATCTTTAAAGACATGTTAAAATACGTATGGGTGAGATGATTCCTAGACTTTACTTTAAAATAATACATAACAAAAAAAGTAGATGGGGTTATAGAGAAAATAAAATTCATCATGATTTTATAATTTTTGAAGTTGAGTAAAGGCTATGAAGGGGTTGATATATGTTTGAAATTTTCCATATTAAAATTTGTTTTGTTTGTTTTTAATAAAAAATAAAAAAACACAGGACAAGTCAGACAAAACCAACAAAATTAAAAATCTGGAATTTTTTACAGTGGAAAGGTTAATCTAGATTCCTAGCCTTCTGAACTCCCAAAAGCAACCCTTTTGATTTAACCCCAGAATTAAATAGAATTATGTTTTTTGTCTTCCTCACAGTTGCTTTCAGTTACTAAGAACTTTCCATTCCAGTCTTCCTCTTTGGTCATGTTTGCAATAGTTTTATAAATATCAATTAAAATGCAAACTTTTTTTTATCCTTTTTAGAAGCCATTATAACATTCACCCCAATCTTTATCTGTTATTTTCTGAATCAGAAATTGTACCTGTGCTATTTATAAGACTTTTAATTTAATTAAATTTAAGTTTTAAGTTAAATCACAACTAGTAACATTTTATATTCATCCTATCTTATTAAACTCCATAGTCTAAAAGAAAAACCCTTATATAATACAAACCATTCCCTTCAAAAGACAGTTTTGAAGTTGCAAACAAATTTGCAAAATAAAAATTTTATCACTTATATACACAATACTAAATTTTTATCTGGAAAAAAAAACCCTCAAAAATGAGAAGAAAAAATACCACATTAGAATATTCTTTACCCAGTCTGTAGTAAAAGGAGCTCCATTTGCCATCAAAATACGAACTTCATCATCTTGACCTGCTCGTGCCGCTTCTAAAAGCTTCTTTCCCAAATCTACCAGGGACATCTAAACAAAACATAGAGGAATTTAAAATCTCCAGTTACAAAAATGTCCCAGACTACTGAACCAATAAATGACCCAACTTTTGAGATCTACTCAGAAGAATAAATATATATTGAAACAGATCTATCAATAAGGATTATGTAAGTAAATATGTCTGATATGTATCTACATATATATAATCATTTTTATAATGTGAACAATCTAAAGATTGGGAAATGGCTGAAGTGTGAAATCTAGTAGAATAATATGCAGTAATTTAAAATAATAGTTTTGAAGTTATAAAATAGCATTAAAAAGCTATGTCATGTTAAGTGAAAAGATAAAATACAGAACGAGTTTTTGAATGGCAAAATATGCCCAAAGAGAACAAAATGCTGAAAATTATTTGTGTGATTATGGGAAATTTGCCTCCAGTTTACAAAGCTTCTTCCATATTACTATATTATTTTCCTATTTTAAAAAGTGGATTTTTTTTTTTATTAAGGCGTTACATATGTGTCCTTATCTACCCATTGCCCCACCTCAACCCCCTCACTCATGCCCTCACTTCTGTGGTGTTTGTGTCCATTGGTTAGGCTAATATGCCTGCATACAAGTCCTTTGGTTGATCTCTCCCCCTTAACTCCACCCTCCCCTACCTTTCCTCTGAGGTTTGACAGTCAGATCGATGCCTCTCTATCTCTGGATCTGTTTTTGTTCATCAGTTTATGTTGTTCATTATATTCCATAAATGAGTGAGATCACATATTTATCTTTCTCTGACTGGCTTATTTCACTTAGCATAATGCTCTCCAGTTTCATCTACTATGCTATTGCAAATGGTAAGAATTCCTTCTTTTTTACCACAGCACAGTATTCTATTGTGTAGATGTACAACAGTTTTTAATCCACTCATCTGCATATGGGCATTTAGACTGCTTTCAAATCTTAGCTATGGTGAATTGTGCTGCTATGAACATAGGGGTGCATATATCCTTTTTGATTGGTTCCTAGTTTCTTGGGATATATTCCTAGAAATGGGATCACTGTGTCAAATGGGAGTTCCATTTTTAGTTTTTTGAGGAAACTCCATACTATTTTCCACAGTGGCTGCACTAGTCTGCATTCCCACCAGCAGAGCATGAGGGTTCCTTTTACTCTGCATCCTCGCCAGCACTTGCCATTTGTGGATTTGTTGATGATAGCCATTCTGACAGGTGTGAGATGGTAACGCATTGTCGTTTTTAAAAAATATATTTTATTGATTTTTTGCAGAGAGGAAGGGAGAAGTAGAGGGATAGAGAATTAGAAACATTGGTAAGAGAGAATCATCAATTCAGCTGCCTCCTACACAATCCCCACTGGGGATGTGCCTGCAACCAAGGTACATGCCTTTGACCGGAATCAAACCTGGGACCCTTCAGTCCACAGGCAGATACTTGATCCACTGGGCCAAACCGGTTAGGGCCGCACTGTCATTTTGATTTGCATCTCTCAGATTAGTGACTTTGAGCATGTATGTCTCGTATGTCTCTTGACCTTCTTTGTGTCTTCTTTCAAAAAGTATTTAGGTCTGTTGCTCATTTTTTTTTAAAAATATATTTTATTGATTTTTTTACAGAGAGGAAGAGAGAGGGACAGAGAGTTAGAAACGATGAGAGAGAAACATCGACCAGCTGCCTCTTGCACACACCCTACCGAGGATGTGCCCGCAACCAATGTACATGCCCTTGACCGGAATCAAACCCGGGACCCTTCAGTACGCAGGCCGACGCTCTATCCACTGAGCCAAACCGGTTTCGGTCTGTTGCTCATTTTTTGATTGGGTATCTTCCTTTTGTTAAGTTGTATGAGTTCCCTGTAAATATTGGAGATAAACCCTTATTGGTGATAACATTGGCAAATATGTTCTCCCATTAAATGGGCTTTCTTGTTGCTTTGTTGGTCGTTTCTTTTGCTGTGCAAAAGCTTTTTATTTTGATGTAATCCCATTTGTTTATTTTTTTTAGTTTCCATTGCCCTAAAAGCGGTATCAGTGAAGAAATTGCTTCGGCATATATCTGAGATTTTGCTGCCTGTAGATTCCTCTAGTATTTTTATCATTTCCCATCATGTTTAAACCCTTTATCCATTTTAAGTTTATTTTTGTGTATGGTATAATTTGGTGATGTAGTTTTATTTTTTTTTTTTTTTTTTTGCATGTATCTGTCCAATTTTCCCAACACCATTTACTGAAGAGAATGTATTGACTCCATTGTATGTTCTTGCCTCCTTTGTCAAATATTAATTGAGCATAGTAGTTTGGGTTGATATCTGGATTCTCTATTCTATTCCCTTGGCCTATATGTCTGTTCTTGTGTCAGTACCAGGCAGTTTTGAGAACAGTGGCTTTGGAATACAGCTTGATATCTGGTATAGAGATCCCTCTTACTTTGTTCTTCTTTCTCAGAGTTGCTGCAGCTATTCGGGGTCTTCTTTTTATTCCAGATGAATTTTTAGAGTTTGTTCTAGGTCTGTGAAATATGCCATTGGTATTTTAATGGGGAGTGCACTGAACCTATAGTTTGCTTTGGGTAGTATGGACATTTTAGTGATGTTGATTCTACCAATCCATGAACATGGTATGTTCTTCCATCTGTTTATATCTTCCTTTATCTCTGTTTTCAGTGTCTTGTAGTTTCCCACATATAGGTCTTTTACCTCCTTACTTAAATTTATTCCTAGGTATCTTAATTTTTTTGGTGCGATGGTAAATTAAAAAGTGAATTTGTTAAGGGACAAATAACATCGTGTGCCTGTTAAATAAGGAAATGCTGACATTGAGGAAAATTATATACTACTGACTTACTAAACAGGAAGAATGATGAAAAAAACAAAAATGCAGGATATTGACAACTTAATATAGTAAACTTATTGATCTGCTTTCAAGAATTGCAAAATAGCTGAGACCAGTTTGGCTCAGTGGATAGAGCGTTCAGTCTATGGACTGAAGTGTCCTGGGTTCAATTCCGGTCAAGGGCATGTGCCTTGGTTGTGGGCACATCCCCAGTGGGGGTGGTGCAGGAGGCAGGTGATCAATGATTCTCTCTCATCAATGTTTCTAACTCTATCCCTCTCTCTTCCTCTCTGTGAAAAATCAATAAAATATATTAAAAGAATTGCAAAATAATGATGCATTTGAACAAATCAACTTCTCTCAGAATTATGCAATTATCTTAATTATTCAAAATATCGTACTTAAGGACCTAAGATACTTAAGTTACTGTGGTTCCATGAGAATACAACGGTGTAGTAGACTAATATAGCTAAATACTTTTTAAATCAGTGGTTCTCAATGGTAGCAACAATGACTCCTAGAGGACGTTCTATATATGGAGGCATTCTGGGGATTGATGGACTGAGGAATGGGATAAAAGCTCTACTAATATTTAATGGGCAAGTGCCAGGGAACTAGAGGTGCAGCAATACAGGGAACAATCCACTATGGAAAAGAATTGCCACAGGTCCTGGATGAATTTCAAACATTCTACTGAATATATCTAAGACTAGAATTCAATATGTTAAAAAAAAATGTATTTTCCACAGTTATTAATGTATCCCAAATTTTCCAAAATGCAACCAAACTATAAATCTATATATTTGTCCAGAACTTTACTAAGAGTTGTTCACCAAATTGGAAAATCATGTCACCAATCTCAATGCCACTTGGGTATGTGAATCATCACTATAAATGACACTTTTATCAATTATGCTTTCACAGCTGTCACATTCATAATAATTCTATGTGTAGGTGGCAACCATTTGATACCTCTTGTGCCAGCAAGTGTGGTGCACTTGAATATTTACATACTGAAATACACATTTTATTATAAGTTGCTTTCCTTCTATTTCTCCTGTATATTAAAATTAGAGTATTATAATGAGTTTTTAATTAAGCAGATAGGTAATATTAACTATGATTTTCATTTCCAGTTAGCAAAAGGGGCAATATAAAATATTATAAAAAGGAAGCCAGAGATCTAACAAGATTAAAAATCAATTTCTAAAAAATACACAAGCTCTGGCTAAGTGGCTCATTTGGTTGGATGTCATCCTTGCACCAGGAGGTTGCCAGTTCAATCCCCAGTTAGGGCGCATGCAAGAATCAACCAAAGAATATATAAATAAGTGGAACAACCAATCAATGTTTCTCTCCCTCTAAAACAAAAACCAAAGTCTAAAAATGAAATCTACATTTGCTCAAAAGTACATGCTAAGAAGGCCATCTAGTGGTAAAAGGAATTACACAAAATTAAAATTTTAAAGCTTAAAGTCTATTTTGCTTTGAATTTCTGTAATTCATAGCTCATAGAGCTTTTGTGAATTTATAGCATCTACTGGACACGAAAACACTCTTTAAAACTGTAAAATACTACGTAGATCCATGTAAATTGCTACTAGCACTTCTAAAAATAAGTAAAAACACTTAGAAAATGTAATCCTCTAAAATAATAATAAACGTCGGTTGTCTCATTGAAGTTTTTAGAATAAAATATCACTTCAATAAAATTCTTCTAAAGTTCTTCATCAAGCGATTTGACACTGTGAATGTACCAACATCCTTTAAGAAGTTCATGCTCTTTGACCTAGTAATATCACTCATATAATCTATCATAAGGAAACTATCTGAAGCATAAATATTATAACATAATGTTATAAAATGGGGAAAAATTAAAAATGCCTTTGTGTAAACAATAAATTAAAGTAGATGATAATGGAATATTGTGGTTTTTATTTTTTACTTTTTATTATGAAAATTTTTTAACAAATTCCCAACAGAAACAATAATATAATGAATTGTCACTTAGCCACCACCTAGCTTCAAAATTATCAATTCATGGCCATCCCATTTCCCATGCACAAGTATTATTTTGAAGTAAACATCAGACATATTTTATCTATAAATACTGCAGTATATATCTCTAGAAAATAAAGATACCAAACTGAGTTCAAAGGTTTCCAATTAGTATGTCCTAAAACTGAGT